CATAAGTGTCGTAATCTTGTTTATAATCAAACTTCGTTTTCCTTCGAACACATCGATTGCTAGTATTCAACTCTGCGGGCACGTCCGTCGGTGTCAGTCAGACTGTAGGCTCCATGTACATTTCCATAGCCATCTCCAGCTTCCCAACGGCCGTTGGTAGCCCCCACTGGGTCAACAATGTCGTAGTTGAAAGCATAGTTTCCGAAGTCCTGTATAATAAACAGAACATTTATTTAAATAAAATTATATAGTGATTGTTAATTATGAATTTAACTTTAGCATTTTTCTTAAAATTTATAGATGATACAAAAAGCAAAGCAGACATTTATTAATATTTATTTCAGTTTTCACACGTCAGTTACTGGACTACTTATTTAAAAGCTAACAGAAGACTATCAGACAAAAATGTATTTAGACTTAAGGTCATAATCCCCTAAAAAAAGTAACAGTTAACTACGTTCCTATACTAACTGTTGTATAACGTAAATGTTCCTATATTCATATCTTCGTGACACATGTTATAGTCTGCTCATAAATAAGTACACGCACAAAGAGAGACGAAAATAACATAAAATCTCGTTACATCCATCTTGTCGGCGGGAGCAGATGCTGCTGCCACCTGCCAGGCAATCCACCGTAGGCGACAGCCACTAGGGTGAAGAGAAGAGCAGTCTGGAAACAATTTAAATAAACTCATGATTTTATTTCTCGACAGTTTTCTCTAGTGTATCCGTGAGATTCAACGTAACGCTGAGAATTTCACAGGTGCGTTTGTAATAAAAATCACGTAAACTGGAAATGCCTTGTTTTTCACTTTTTTTTTTAGTTTTTTGTTGGGGGGATTTCAAATCAGACAAAAGAGAAATCTAAAGTGATATTTTTACACGTCTCTGATTGTGAAATTCGAAATGGACAAATTAAGAAGAAGGTGGGGTAAAATATGGAAATATTTATAGATAAAAATATTGCTAAAAGTATATAACTATATAGTGTTATTGTGCCTTGTATTATATTGTTGTTTGTAATTTAAACCGTAAAAGTTCCATTAAACATTTGTTATAACTTGAACCTGTGTCTTGTCTCTTCCTGTGTTATTTAACTCTTACAACTCAAAAGGAAACACACATGAAAACCCGAGAACCTCATGCTGTTAGAAAATCTCACTGCTATACTTTGCAGATTCTACAAGAGATACCGGAGTCGAAAACATGGTTCTGAAACCAGCTAACGATGAAACTTGCAAAAGAACCGATATCTTTGAACGCAAACCCTTTGTCGAACGATTGACTAATTATGTTGATACGTGTCATGAGTTTATTGTTGTTGAAACTGTGAATGGTGAACAGCTAGATACATTACTTGTTCGAATATATATATATACATGATGTACATAGTCGCAGTGCTTTCCTTGCTTTTTCAGACTGCTTTTCGTTGGAGTTCTGAAAATAAACGTGTTTCTACTTTGAGAAGATAGGTTTGTGGGAATCTAACTAATTCAATCACTTATTGATAAAGTGTGAATATATGATTCACTAGCGTCGGTTTTGTACAGTATTGGGTTTCTCTTTAAAATATTTTGGTTTTAAGTGTTTTCATCCGATTTGTCAACTAAACCATTACGTCTCAACAAATGTATTTATTTGATCTCTACAGTCAAAATTAAAAGTAGGAATTTTGATAACAAGCGTAACTTTATTAGCCATTTTAAATTAATTTAATGTGCATTAGATTCAGCAATACCCTTACGGATTTACAGCTCTAAAACTATAGGTTCGATTACTCGCGGTGGTATGAGGTCAGATTGCTCATTGTGTAGCTTTGCACAAAGAAAAAAAACCAAAACAAGAATAACAATATGTAGATGACTTATACTTTTAAAAGTGTATTGACTTGGAAGATCGGATAATACAAAGCTATGCTATGTTTTTGATGGAAATTTGTTGCACATATAAAGAATAAACGACGGATAAACAGTAATTTTTCTATTAACAAGTTATGAAAACATTCTAACATATGATGATGTAAACGTTTTGTACGGTAAATGAATTAATTCAGGAGAAAACCACAATAGTTAAAGTTTAATTCCGGGTTTCGGTAAGTGATAATTAATACGCTTATTTGTTTCGAGAGAGGGTAATAAATTGTGTTTAATTTTGTGTATTCTTGTTGAATTGTCTTTTACTCACTTTCGTGAACCTATGTTGACATCGGTATTTGAAAAATACGCAAGTTTATTTTTCTGAATAATTATTTGAAAAACTACTTAAGATAATGCAATTTTTCCTCTTATTATCGAAACACAGAATTTCGAAGAGCAATTTCTGGTGTCAAAATTGCCCATGTTGGGACTACATCATGAAGACGTTTTGCATTCGCGCCCGAATGTTGGCCAGTTTAATTTCAAAACAATATAGTAAATAAATATAGGCTTCAAACTTACAAGTTCCTTTATATATTCTTAAATATCTCAGTTTCATACATATATATATAAGCAAAAACACCATTCTAACTGAAATGGGACAGCAAATTTTCAAACATATGTAATGATTTAATTTGAGGCAAAAAAGTGTTTGAAGAGGAAAATTCGGTGTCTCAAATTAAACCGTTGATGTTTTGGTTTGAGACACTAAGTGTGATAGTGTAAACGATTTGAGCGTCTGAACTCAAACGAAAAAAACGTTTTAAAGCATGCTTCAAAAGACATGTTTTTAAATTGAAAACAAAATCAGTTTTACATCTCGTTTTAATTTACAGTGCATATAGCAAAGCTAAAACTGGGTGTAAACCAATCATAACGAAGGCCAAACATCGGTAAGAAACTTAAATTTTGAAATGGACAAAGCTGTATTTTTGTGTAAAAAAGATAAAAACTCAAATCTTCTCTCATATCTGGAAATCGCATGCTTTTACTAAATAAATACACATTGTACACAATTACACAAATATACACAACACGCTTTCAAAACGAAGTGAGGATGTTAAGGAAGCAACTTGAGGTGAATGCTCAGATAAGTAACTATACGTCAGCTTTAAGAACAACAGCAGAAGCCTGGCTAAAAAAAAAGGGAAATGAAACAAGGCAGATATTAATTACAGTTAAGGTCTTTGATAATTCTTGAATTGGTAAGTTGGTTGTCAGGATAACACGTCTATTGTGCACTGTTCCATAAAATGTGTCTACAAAACATAAAGTCCTGGAAGCAAGACTTAATAAAGTCCAGCAGCATAAGCAGTGGCTCCAACAGCGGGAGGATGACATGACTGACAGAGTAAGAGATATGATAAAGGGAGCCAGCAAAGATGCAGTCTTTGTTGTGCACGTATGGGCTAATGATGTAGGGAAAGGTAAGTCAGTGAAGCTAATTGATACTGCCGGGAATTAACTGTGTGGATGAAATTATAAGTAGGTCACCTAGCTTAGGTTAGTATGTAAGAATGATCAGATTGGCTGGTTGGGCAGTTCAATGGGAGAAGTGAGCTCTTTGGAATGGATGGTCTACACATAAATAAGGTAGGAGCTGGCTTGTTTACAAGGGGCTTACAGAGCTCTAGTCTACGCCGCTGGTATCTATGGAGCTCCTGCCTATGGAGCTGAATTTTACAAATACCATTAAAAATATACATATATAACTTTCTCCATTAATTAATTTCACACACTAATTCTCTCAAAGAATTTTCTGCTTCCTCTGCTAACTTTATAATCTGAAAGTTCTTGACAAACTTAAGCCTGATTTCTGGATGTCGACTGGTATCTTGCCTTTGCTTACACAAAACCCTAACTTACCACTGTTTTCCGAAAAGGTCAAACTGAGAGAAAACTTTTTCTCTCTTCGCTCTCCCTCAAGCTAATATTTTACTTTAAAAACTTTAGTTTCTGTTTAAATTCCATGTACAGTTCGTATTTATGTAATAAATTTATTTGGTCCTCGGAAAACTGGCATCGATTACTTTCCGTTTCTCTCTTTCAACACTACATATTGTAGAATAAAAGTGCTACTACATTGAAAGCGGAGCAATAAACTAAATATTTGTATGGATAATTACGATAATTAATTACACTTTTTATTTACGTGTAAAAATTCATCACACTTTAGCTCCGAAATTGTGGGGGCATTATAATTTGACGGTCAAACCCACTATTCGTTTGTAAAAGAGTAGCCCAAGAGTTGGCGGGGAGTGGTGATGACGGCTAGCACAGGTAGCCCTCGTGTAGCTTTGGGCGAAATTCAAAAGAAACCAAACCCATTTATGTCTATTAACACATCAATCACTATAACACATTTGCTATGAGTCCTGTATGAACACAAATATTTTTTATGTTCTCTGTTTCAAACTCCACAGCTTATTTGTGTTGATGTTTCGGATGAAATTGTGCAATGAGGAATTAAAAAAATATAATATTAGTATACGTGTTACTTTTCATGAATTACGTATGATATAAAAATATCAACAAGAACAAAACTATTGATGAAGAAGGTCCTAAAGCAGCATTATAACTGGATATTATAACCAGGTCTCCTAGATCGAAGGAGCCCGTTGCCTAGGAGATGACTGAATGAATTAAAATTTGGATGTGTCATTGAAAAAGATGTGTATGCAACCGTGTCATTATCATATCAGCGACTTTAGTCAATTATATAAACCTATTTTTTGAAACATTTCGTAAATATGTTTTTTCAGTTTGTTTGGCCACTCGCCAACAACAAAAAAGTAGCTATACAGAAAGAGTAAGAGCTGCTTGACACTTTCCCCAACGTATCCATTACTGTGTAGAACTACATAAACTTGATGGTGACTAACTACAGTGTCGAGAGATCATCTAGTAAAATGTCGATAATCAAAAGCAAGCTAAGGTTAACAATTAAAGATGAACAATTGATTTCGGAAGGACAGTTGGATATTTTACTGCTGACAAAACTAGAAAGTGAATGTAGATAGA